ATCTTGGGCTGTGGCCGAGCTCGGCGGCCTCTCAAAGGTTAGAAATCGCGAAACAGCGAAGGCTGGGTGGGTGAAGCCAAACGTAAGAACACCAAAATCGATCCAACGCAGCACTCTCACAAAGAGCTCGGCTTCAGTCAAGCCCGATCTCTGCAAGCCAAGGCTCTGACAGCTGCGGACTCCTGGCTGCATTTTTCCTCCCTTGGCAGATCCTTGCAGTTTCGAGTCGTGATTGCAGGATGACAGCTTCTTCTGACACAGTTCCTGTAAGTTGCACGAGCTTCGAGATTCGAGATGCCTCTCATATTTAGAAAATACCGACAAACCCCTTAAAGCCGAAGACCCTAGTCCCTTTCACTTGTCACACCGTCATGACACACTTCACTAACAAATCCCTTGCTGCTGCGTCGAAGTCGAAGGTCGGTTGCTTTGCTTCACTGGCTTTCAACGGGCCCCTTGGGCAGTGTCATCATTTCAAGTGCCGAAGGTCACTGAAGCGCCGTCGCGACGCGTTTTCTAGGCAGAAGCTCAGCTAATCCTTTCCCCCTCGAATTCGAACCAATTTCCCTGTGGTGCGACTTGATCAACGGGGCGGGTGAGAAAAGGACCTGCGCCGATGATAGAATTTGTTTAGCCCTACTCGCACTTAGTGATGAGACTTGTAGTTGCAAATCAAGCAAGGTCCCCGCCTACCCCAGAAGCAGTTGTTGTTCCGCTGTTTAGTACGAGCCCGTCACCGTACAATGCCTTTTTTGCTTCTGAAACCTTCTGTCCAGTCCCTGCGTTGGGAAATTGAGGCAGCTTGTGGCTGCGATAAAGTGATAGTGCCTGTCACTAATCAGCATGTCCCATGGCCATACACAAAATGCGAAGGCTCACGACCACAAGGGGATCCTGCCCTGAAGCCCAAACGTACAAATAACAAAAACGCGGGCAACGATTGCACAGAGATTTTGCTCTCGAACCTCATCGCAGTGCTAGTGCTTCAGCGCAGAAGTGGCTCACGGTTGACAAGATTGTGCAATGTCGGTGCGACCCTCCGCCCGTACCCGAGAGGTGAAGGTGACAAGTGCCATGCGAAAGGCCTGCGAAAGCAAAGCCATCAACGGCAGTTCTACATGCTCGCGAAACCTTGTTTGAGCACTTCAGGTCTGGAAGATATGTCACTTCCTGAAGACAAAACTCGATACCGTGAGAACTGAATATCCGGCACGCTTTGCATCCGAAAGACTGAGGCTGGCGGCGCTGAGCCTTGGCAAAGCTTGGGACAGTTACGTCAAGGCTGTGTACCGCTGCTTGGCGCAATATTGAGACTGCGCGGGCTGCTTCGTTTTGTTGCGCAGTCGCAGGCCAAGAAGATAACAGTTCACGAATATTGGAATTTGTGCTGAGGGAGGAGAGCCGCCCTTCCGACCCATGCAGTGACAGCCGAAGGTGGAAACGTAAGACAGGGGCAATATAAGCATCGCTTGCGGCCAGCTGAACCGGAGTCCCTCGTCTTCGACCCGGTCCTGTAGACAACAAACCTACAGGAAGCTGATAGAATCACCGCAATCGGACGAGCCGGCTGAATCCTGTGAATATGCCATGGAAGAAATGCCCCAGTATATAGGGATACCTACCAGTAGAGCGTGCCGGGCTTCGAGCGTGATGTCTGCCTTCATCCGGACGCTGGTGCCAGAAACGCCAGTGCACTTTGTATTCGGAGCCCATTCTGTGGCGAGCCGACCCCACTGGTCTCTCGATATTCCTCGCCCCTCCTTTCACTGCTGGGATGGGCCTTTAGGGATTCCCGCTTTGCCCCCTGATGGCTCCATGGCCGGCAGAGACTGGGAAGTCACCATGAGTTGCGTGGCTCTATCTGGCAAATCGACAGGAGGCTCACTTTAGTCAGACTCGTTAAGTCTTTAAGTGGTTTCAGTATAAATCGTTCACTCACGAGTGGCTGTTTAGAAGCATTCGGTTCTGTGTTATCTTCGTGCAACAGCGACAGGTGCCTCCTGGAGTTCGATGCGGCTATTTCTTGTCAAGCTGCAGCAGTGCAGGATTTCTTGGTGGAAGGAGCCCAGTTCTGCAACGGTAAGGTTTCCTGTGGGGACAGGGGCGCCCGGGGGTTTCCAGATTTGGATGCTCGCTGGCTTACTCTAGGGCTTACTTGGTGCGCTCACATCTGTCATCAGATGTCGTCATTTGTGGAACGTCACTGTCCGGAAGCCCTGACTTGATTTACATACAGTTTCCGTGTCCATATATCATTTCATGCTCGGCTGGCTACCGGCATGTTAAGGAACCGCAGCGAGTGCCACACCGGAGGTGGCCGGGATTTTATTGGCAGCAGACGCGCATGCAGCAGGATTTAAGGATCGTGCGGCAGTGTTGGTTGTAAGTGTTTTGAATGTTGCCACTGCTCCACTTGTGCTGCGGCATCATGTGAGGTGGTTGTTAGAAGATGGTAGAGGGCTGTGTCTATTTCTTGGGCTTACGTGGATCCTGCCAACCCTGAAATTCCGGAGACGGAAGTCCAGACATGATCATCCTGAATGTGGAAAGCAGCAGGCCGTTCAAATGACACTCCTGCGATTCAAATCCTTTGCAACCTCTCGTTCCGCTCGGAGCGCTGTTGTTTCTCTTTAGGATGCTGATGGTTGAGAAATAATTCATGAGCAGCCATCTGGCAAACTTGTCTTCCTGACCTGCAAGATCTCAAGCGCTGGAAGCCCGGGTAAAGCTCACAACTGAAAATTCCTGCACAGCTGCTGGTGCCTCCTTTTCTCCGGAGCCACGTTCGCCGCGTTCGTCGCGAGAGCTCTCCACCGCCGCTGCTTGATTGTTGAAGGTTTGCCAGACTTCTGAAAACTGACACATGGTGTGGGTTTCAAGAGAGCTTGAAATACGAATATTCGGAGGTCTTGCTGCTTCTGGGTCTAGGAATCAGAGATCCGACCGAAGTCCACATATCACAGCTACAGTCAGTCATTGTAAACGTTTCGCATCGTCCGCCTCAGCCCCACAAGTGCATTTTTGCAGCTTCAGCAATATCTGCCGTTGCATCCTAATGGCCTGGCACCAAGATATCACATCGACATCTTCCGCGTACAACTCGCAGGTGTGACTGAGGCAGGTCCCGGTTGGAAAATCTGCCACCGATTGCTGCCGCTGAATACATAGATGTTGCGGTGGCGTGTCCCAGCTAGCCCGCTGCTGTGCAACTTGCATTTTGCAAGCCGGGAATGCTGGAGCCTAAACCTGTAAGCTGGAGGATGGTGTTGAGGTCTTCGCGGGTTTCAGCTGTCACTCGTGCTGCTCAAGCCTCTGCAGGCTCCGTTCTCGGACGATATCCTTGAAGCACCACCGGAGGCGAATCTGGATATGTTGAGCCATGTTGACAGTTGAGCCACAGTACAGTGGGGAGGCGCCCGCAGCGCTTGCCCATGATACTGATTTGGGATAGTCTTCAAACTGCATATTCGCTCCTGAACCTTCCGGGAAAGACCTGCTGAATCTAGAGACTTTGGATTTGTACGGATCAACTGACACATCTAAGTTTCGAGGAAGGTGAGGAAGACTTTGCCATCAGTCATCCTTGCTACAATTTGCCCCCGAGCATCTACAAGCACTCCAAGGGCCTTTGCATTCTGATTTCTGTGCTCAGGGTGAGTGAGGAGTTTTGTAGATTGCAGAAGGAAGTGGCCTTAATATTAACATCAAGATCAGGAAAAGTCTGATGACTGTCGAAATTGGCTGCTTTCGCACTGCCATCTATTTTCCAACAGTTGCCACAATCGACTTTGGTGGGAGTGGCCGGGGTCTGTGGTGTCGCAGTAGCCATGTGAGCGCCTGAGTCATGTCGCGAGAGCTGAAAGAAACTGGCTCCTTGTTTTCTCTTGAGCCTTGAGGCGGTCCTGGTGGCATCAATGCTCCTGGCTCTCCAAGGAAGCCCTGCCAAGGCTGACTATGAGCATGTCCTGGGTGAACATTCGGCTTCTGAGGGAACGCCTTTGCTCATTTCCGAAGGTCCGGCCTGAAGATTCAGTTGTGGCCGACCCTCGGCCGACTGCTGCGCCCGTCGCAGGAGCTGGAGACCAATCCTTCCTCCCCCGAGGAGATGGCAGCGGCGACTTGCCTACAAAGTACTGAACTATACTGAACTAATTGGCCATGAGCTGTTGCATCTCCTGGTCTCCAAGCCGGATGACTCCCAGTCCATGCTAAGATTTCGAGGCCTACAGCTGAGCTTGACCCCTCCGATTCTTGAATCAATGGCTGGTGTTTGCCAGAGCAGCATGAAATAGAAGATGCCATTGAGCAGCAGAAGCCGGTGGTGGTGTTTTCGGCCGTTCAGTGCAGGAAACTGTGATTCATCACGGCTTGTTGCAAATCTGATGCTTTGTACTACCGGCTCAGGTGTCCAGCAGCTCCAGCAACATTGCCACCGGTGGTGCCTCGGATGGAAGACTGAACATGACAGAGCTGTATGGAAGGGCAAGTAGCGGCGTGTATGTGTGCAAGTATGGAAGTAAGTAGGTATGGGTAATTATGTGGGTGTTCCTTCGGTCGGTCCGTCCGTCCGTTTGTTTGTTTGTTGAGTGTGTAGGCAAGTTTCAACGTAACGTAACGTGACAACGTAAGGTTAAGTAAGGAAGTGTTATGCAGTGCAGTCTATACTGTGTCGTATGTTGTGCATGTGCATATGTACGTGCGCAGGCGTGTAAGCTGGTGAGAAGATCAATCAAGCTAGCTGTTGAGTCGCTGTTTCCAAGAAAGCACGCATGCATGAACAGAAAATGTCAAAATAGCTAGGTATTATACATATAGATAAGATAGGTATGTGTGTATATATATATATATATGTATATATATATATATATGTATGAGTGTATGTATGGCATGTATGCATGCATGTATGAATATACATGTATGCACAGTATGCATGTTACACCTGTGAAGTGGCCATACTAACACCATTTGCCTGCCGCTTGCCGCAAAACGTGCGGCTACCAGCATGCAGCTTTCTGCATAAGTCTCGAGAGCTCCTCCGTGTGTTCTGTAACGGGCATGTGTGTCAGGACCCGAGGGGTGATTGCTCCTCGAGGGTCAAGTCGGGAAAAGAGGCCTTGAGTCCAAACCACCAAAGCCCCCCCGAAGAAACCCAAGCAAGGCAACGTGTTGTATTGCTTACAGATTCACATCTCCGGTGTCGGCCTATGTTCTGGCGTCCCTACAAACGTGTCCGAATGCATGCTACTGCATGGTCCGGTGGACATGTAGTACATGAGCACACCATATTCATCACATGCCACACAAGCGCAATGACCTACAGACACTCGGGCTTCCATTTTCACCGAGACACTACTGTATCGAGACAGTATCGAGACCGTCGTCAGCATCAATACATTGCCCGAGTTTCCACTAGTTTGGGCATTGGGCTCTGGACTCTCCTACAGCTCATGTCATGGCTCTACTCCAATCGGAGCAGCGTTTCTGCGATGCTGGATTTGTGGAGTTGGGAATTACGGCCCTCCGAAACTGCGCCCTTGTGTCAAGGAACAATTGACTTCCAAGCCGTGGCGACTCCCTGTTCTCCGAACCTCTGTTGTTGTCGTCGGTGGTCTGGCGCCGGTGCGAGAACAAGTCGCAGCATCAGCAGCAGCCGCGCTACTGGTGTCGCTTGCAAGGGTCCGAACTTGTCAGAATATACCAGAGCGGAGTTAAGCCATGAGTCTATTGTTCTGTTACACAGCATGGAACCACCATCGTATTATGGCTGCCGGCAGTCCTCACATCACCACGCCCGTCGCACAGGTCGCCAGTAAGAACTAAGCGGTTGTAATCAAAGTTTAACTGCAGACTCTACTCTTGGATGCGGCGACAAGGTCAAGCCTCCGTTGCCACACCGTCAGCCGAGGCGCATCAGTGCACCCAGTGTTTGTCCTAAGTTGCCTGGTTGAGTCCGCAAGCGACTGAATACCGACATCTAGTTCTTAACGGTTGTATGTACATGAAGAATGTTAGCACCTTGATCCTCCTCGTGGCCAACCAGCAGTTTTACAGTGCTGGCACACATTGCATGATGTGTATACCTTGCTTTGCTTTGCATTGCCTGGTTTTGCGAGTATTTCGGGGAGACGGCCGGGGTATTGGCACATCTCCAGCACTTAGCGCGGGTGTGACAGAGTCCTGTTGTCATGTCAGCAGTTGTTATAACGAATCTGACCGCAATGTTGTTGCATAAGTCGTCACCTCAGTATGATTTAGAGGTTGCTTCCGACGACACGGAGCCTCACTGTGCAATCGTCAGGAAATCAAAGCATGGTGTTTCGATGGCGGGTCGGTATGGGTCGGTATGCCTTCAATCAACAAGGTTGTAGTCTGCCGCAAACCTCGTCGGACTTGTCGGACTTGTCGAGCACGGGTGACAAAAATGCCTTCAATCAACAGAACCAGGGAATAAGCTCCAGACTCCAGAACACAAGCTGGGAAGGCATTTCGTGGCATCCGTTCTCGAGACACATAGTGCCAGCGTTAGCTTACACTTGTGTCAAAGCATGACTGCATGTGCATGTTTGGCATAATTTTTGATCTTCTTTCTGCAGGCATGCCTCATGCGTACCGTCGCATTGTGTATTTGAGGGTTCAGGCTCCCGGGCCACTGGCGCTCGCTTGTCGAACCGTCGGTCTCTATGTCTGCTACGGTCCGGCACTGCTTGTCATCGACATTTTCGCGGCTGCAGAGTCTGGTATTGGCGACAGAAAAAAGTTGAACCCTTCAGCACGTTACTCCGCTGGACAGGAGGCTCTCGACCTAGCCGGGCGCTTTTTTACCCAGCTGGCAGCCTCCCTGCGGGTGCCCTGTCAGGGCGTTCAGGGAAGGCACATGCTGAGGGAGCTTGGATCTAGGCTTGTATGGCTCCATTTATATGCAACACCGTAGACCAGTTGCACACTGACACGGTGAAGTCATAACGGCTTTGTGGTTTTGCGTGTGCCAGTATGACCGACGGCTAAAAGCTGCACAGCGTTTGCTTGCCATCGTTTCGTGGGGCTTGTTTCAGACATTGGCATGACCGGTAATATTGCCAAGCGCAGCATGAACTCTCACGGCGAAAGCCAAGCCAGCCAAAGCCACGAGCGCTGACCCCGCACACGCGATCGTGTTTGTTGAGGTGCGAAGTCCCAACGAGGTGGGTCGCATGTGGAAGGGCTACTTGGAGTGCGCGCTGGATGGGCACAACCCGTGGAAGGAGAGCTTGAGGGGCCGCTCTGGTGGGAGAGATGTAGGATGCATCTGTCGGAAAGACAGCGTAGCGTCGCGTTTCACGTTTCTGACATCTCCTGACGGAGCATGTCCTTTGTGCTTTGACTGCAGCAGCTGTAGGAGATGCAAAGCTAGAACTGCAAAGGACTCTTTTTGGGAACTTGGAGATTGACAGTTAACCACGAAGATGAGATGCCTTGAATCTGGCAGGAGCTCGGCAACACGCTTCAGCTAGGCCCATTCGGCATAGCGAGGACTGGCACTGCCTGAACTGTGGTGTTCGATCGAAAAACAGATATGCTGGCCAGAAAAGCACGTGAACCCTTCAGGGTGTTGTTTCAGAAACTGGTGGCTCATCTGCGACTTTATCATTGGAATTCATTGGAGGGAGCACTACCATGTGTTGGAACTCGCAGGCTGCTGCCCCTTCAGACCTACCAGCCTCGCAACAGTTCGCATCGGAGTTTCTGCTTCATCGCGGTGCAGTATCCGGCACGATGTGGCAAATGCCGCTTGTTCAGGCTCCTCCCCGTTGGATAGAGAGCTCGATTCCGAAAACCATCGATTCAAGCCATGAGTGAGGTTCAAATCTGTGAATCCGGTCCTATGCCTCCAGGACGGCGGTGGTCGGCTCCGCGAGGGCTTCCCTGCGTGTAACGAAGCGAGCCCTCGGCTTTGAGAGCTGCCTCGATTCTGCGCCCTGGTCTTCAACTAAAGCCTTCCGGGCAGGGGTCCAGGAATGCTCCATTGGCCTCGCCCTGTTGGTTTCTTCCGGCTGCTGCTTCCCGTTGTAAAGAGTAAACACCACCGAGACATGAAGATCGATCCTGCCGCGCATGCTGTTGCAGCTCTTCGAAGGCAAAAGAAGCCTTCAACTCCACATCCCGAACGAGAAAAGAGATGACAATCCAGACGGCAGATGCAGGAATTAGGAAACTCGAGGGGGCCGGCATGGATAATGTGCCTTACTGCCCCAGTGGCAGTACGTGGGTGCGGTACGGAACACGACTCTGGGTTTTGCTGCCGCTCATGTTGCATTGCCGGCAGGCTTTGCCGCGACCCTGGGTTTTGCTCATGAATGTCTGCTTATGTCATATGTCTGCTTAAGCGCCTTTGCATTTGCCCGAGTGGCTCTTTGCAACAGGAGGCTGCATCTTGGGGAATCGGTGGCCATGTTCTGTACATGCCATGCTTCATGCAAACATCAATCACGAGCAGTCTTTGCCCGCACAGCTTCTAAGGAAGCCATGGACCAGCAGTTCTGCCGCCAGGCGCAACAGCGCCAGCCGAGGTTTGCATCCATTCTTTCACATGGTCCCTCGAGCTACGGCGAAAGCACTGCTTCCACTTGACTTTGGTGGCTTGCAAGCCCTCTTGTTTGCAGCCCAATTGCCAACACCTCAAGTGTGGAGGCCGAAGAGCTTGAAGCACTTCGACATGCTGCTGTGGGCTGCGCAAGGGAACAGGCTTGGTGCTATGTGTTTGAATTAAGGGCCAGGGCGGCGGAGGTAGTTAAGAACCACACAGGTTGAGCAAGTTGCCAAAGTCGGAGACAGATTTTTAGAAAGCATCGGGCACACCCGATTTCTGGCGATTGCCTCGATCCACCAATCCTGAACTTCAGACCCTCAAGGCCTAGGCCCCAAGCGAGATCAGTCCACGGCGCAGGCGCGAGCTGTGCGCCTGGAGACGTTGTCAGACCCAGAGGCATTTTTGCGATCCTTGGTGTCTTCTGTTCCAAGACAGCTCAGCCCCTGCCGGGGTTACGAACGAAGACATTTGTCACTGCTGCGATCGCACCACCGATAGCGAAAATCCATTACATCCTGCGTCTGAAAGGGTGCATCTGTACAAGATCGTTTCGATCACCCCGGTCCCACCTCTCGACCGCCCCTGCGACTGGGTTTGAGTTCCTGCTGGAAACCAATGCAGCACCGAAAATGTGCTACATAACGAGCGTTCCAAGTTGACCAAGCGCAAGTTGAAACGCATTTTCTGCCAAGGATACCTAGCACACGATCCTGTCCGAGCTTTGCGAGCCACCAGTCTGCAGATTCTTCAGAATGTCCCGATCCCAGATGAAGCCGACAAACGGGCACAGAGTTCTTTTGCTGTCGTCGTGCAGGGGTTGGCATGGAATGTTTTGACAGCGGTTGCCGTGTGCCACGAACCAAAGACACATTGAAGTCATTGAAACTCCCTGGCCCCTGGTATGACAAAGACGATCATAGACAAGACCCGAATCCCTCATGGCTTGGGGCTTTGATCGCCTTTGCCAGGCCACACCTGCTATCCTCAAGGCGGCTTGAATGAAGACTGGAGTCAGACTTGATGGGGCAGGTTGCTGGGATGTTTGCTCTTTCCGGCGAACCTGCTCGGAACAGAATCACTTGTCAAAGATTTTGGCCGTAACTTCGGAATCCCAAGTTACCAAGTAGCACACTCTGTAGCGGGGTCTGTCAGGGTCCAGTTCAGATTGATTCCAAAGATCTCCCACTGGGAAGATCACGAGCGGAGGTCTATCGGGATTCTGCGGGTCCGGCGCAGCGCGTGCTGCTCTTCGCCAAGCTGATGGGTTTGTCTGCCATGGTCGAGGGCTCAGAGAGGCATTTGCCGCGGCTGCCTTCTGATACTCCAGGCTTCCCAACCAACACACACACACACATGTCTTGGGAGCCTTGCTTTCAGAGAATCTGGGGCGGGTGCATTTGGGCTCTCTGGTCGTCCCTGTGTCTTCGCGGGGCGTGAAACATGATGCGTTTGTGCTTTGGGGGCCTGCCCTGCTGCTCTGTCCCTAAATTTGGTCCTGGGCCAGCCAGCCTGGCAGTGCGACCACATGACTGCTCGGGGCCCTTGACTTTATTCAACATGCAGTCCCATTTTTCGAAGCTGGTTGTTAATCTTGCCTTGGCGCAAGATGTCGGGGTTACAGATTGCCAATCCAGGATTCGGGTGAGTTTGTAGCTGCGCACCACTGATTGCAAGGGGCACTGGCTTCTTCTTCTTCAGGCTGGTGGCCTCCTTTGCGGTGACCCTCGTGTTTGCGAAGCCTTTGAGGGTCCGTGGCGAGCTGGAGGCGCCCACGGGCCGCTGAGCTTGAAATCTAATCTGAATGTCATGGTTCAGGGGTTTTGGGATTCAGGCCAGCGGCGGCCAGCGTGCAGCTGCAGTTGTGTAGCTTGGGGTTTCAACTCTCATGAAAATCATACCGAAGATTTGAGTCAGGGCGTTGACAACTGTATTTGAGGGCTGGTTTGATTTGTTTCAATCCCGCGCCACATCGCAACGGTGCGGTGGTCGCTGTGCTTGCCTCCTGCATCTCCTGTGGCCCGAAACCACTCGAAGCTTCGACGCCACACAGTCGCCCCACGAGGAATGCTTGGCACAGCTTCCGCTCCTGTTGCGAGCAGCTGGATGTGCTCCGGCCTGGGTTGCGATTTGGAATTCCGCAGAAAGTGGGCTGCTGCCTTGAAACATCTGGACTACGCTTGGTTGATCTGTCGTTCTGTTTTCTCAGCTGGTTCGGGATCGGATTTCAAACAGAGCAGTGCCGCGGCAAGCAATGACATGTGCTCAAAGCTCATGCAGTGGGGCTTGCCTTTCACTGGCTTTTGAGGTTATGGTGAAGCAGGCACGAGTTTAGTGGAAGAGGAGAGGTCACGCGACTGTTGCTCAACCAATCCTTGCACATACAATGAGCCTTCGACGAGCGAAAGGTGTCAAAGCGCACCCTTGGCAAAGAGCTGTAGCCCTCCTGTTTGGTCCTATCAGCCCTTTCCAGAGTCAGGAAGGGACCCTCGCACGGAACGATGACTGCGACGAGGCGACAAGCGCTTGAGAGCCCATCTGCCAGCACCGACCAGAGCGGCACGAGTTTGCTTGATGAGTGCTTTGTTTGTAGCATGGCTTTTGCGGGGTTGCGATGGGATACAGGAGTGTACATGGAAGAGCGCCGGTAGGTATGTGTGTATATACACAGACACAATAATACATATCCACATTAGGATGTACAGGTTCAACGCGCTTAGTTACCGGCTGACTCACTTGATATTGCATGATATGGCGGACCCTGGAAGCCCTTTGCAGGCGGCTCTGCAAAGGCATCCAAGAGATGCACATGTAACTTGGGCCTTGTTGCAATAAAGCCCGAAACCCTTACAAAGCACTCTCGTTCACGATGATATCTCCGGCTGCCTCGAAAGAAGCTTTGTCAACACGATGCCGTAAGCCTAAGTCCACAGGGGCTAGAGCCGGCTAATGGACTCTTGTAGCACATGCAAGCACAGGTAAGAACAAGTAAGGCAAGACCAGACGGCAGTCCCTGGTCGTCCTCCCTACGACAACGAGCCGGGAAGGGTAAGGGACAAAAAGCGGAGATTTAGCTGTGACATGACTGACGCGACTGAGCTTTTGATCTGTACCAAAGGCAGGGGATCGAGCCTTGGCACTGCTCACGCTGATGCGGCTTCATTTGGCTCCCGAGCCTGCAATTTCGACATGCGCGGAGTTCGGTTTGGGGCACTCTTCTTCGGTTTCCTGGCTTCCCCTTCCAGAGGTTCCCTAGCGCACATTGGCAAACAGGCCATCTGAGCCGGGTAAAGCCGTCGTCAGTTGTTTTATGTAGTGGGCTTTGCGGGCAACATCTCCGACCTTCTCTTACACCGCCAAGAGCTTCAAGCATATAGGGTGCAAGTCTCCTAGATTCCTATGCGGTGTGGTCTCGAGAAAAGGGGTCTCGTTAGACCGCACTTCTGAGCTCTTCTGGTACTTGTTCTTCCGTACCACGTCAGCATTGCAGCCCAAGCAGCTGAAGCGCTCAGCCCTTCTTCAAGACTTGGCGGGATCCTTGACGAACGCGAAGAGGTGCAGAAGTCATTGCTGCCCAGACAGTGGCCGGATGTGCTCATGTCCAAGCTCAGAGACTGGAACAGATTGCAAAAAGCACACGAGACAGCTCCTGCGCGACGTTCACCGAGCAGCAGATGTGCTCTGCAAGAGAACCGTCGTGGAAATCGAGTTGGGGCAGCAGGGTGAGCTTCACGTAGGGGTTCGATCAGGATTGGTGGCAAAAGCAGGATAGCCAAATAATGCCTTCCAAGTCCGGTCGGCGCTTTCCCCGTGAATGGTGCACTTCCTGAGTGCTGGTTCATGCAGCCAGCTGACCTGCACGAGGCACACTACTGATGTGTCGCAGTTGTTGTTCTTCTGAATTCTAATTCTATCCCGACTATCAAGCCGAGCAGCGATCCACCTAGGCCAGAGTGCATTTGCTGGTCACTGCGGGTTCACCTGACACCGGCAAGACCACGTTGTTTCGGGAGGCCAGCCGCTCACTGAAGGTTGAGCCTCGCTTGAGAAAAGAGGAATCGCCGCTTCGAAGCTAAAGTCCGCTGTCGAAGCCTCTGCAGGTGTTTGGCCTCTCGCATTTGAGCGCTGGCCTCTCAGAGGCAGGGCAGGTGAATGTCTTGCCCAAGCTTACGAAACCGATACGACTTCACTGAATGAATCAGTGCTTGCTGCCCAGAAGAGCCTCAAACCGCTCCAGCCCTGAGGGTTCTTGATTGCTGCTGGGCTGTTGCACACGTCCTTTTGGCTTCTGATGGGCTGAAAGCCAACAGTTGCTTCCAAGCCTCCGGGAGTCAACGGCGGTGTCTTCATTCAAGCCTCTAACACCGCAGGAGGAACATATGGTTCAGGAGCGACAGCTGGGGGATTTAAGTTAGGTTTCGACCGGCACTTCACGGAATGAGCTAGGTCCTCGGTTTCAATGAAGCCACGTACTAAACAGGTTCGAATGCCAGAGTCTCGTTCGAACGGCTTATAAACCTCCGCTTCTGAAAGGGTTTACACCACTTCGCCATGGTTCCTTTCAGAAGGCTCGCTCTCCTTTCCCAATTTGCCCAGTCTCCAGTCTGTTTCGATTGGCCTGCAGATTTTGTGAAAATCGGCTTGCTCCGCTTTGGCAGCACTGCTGTTCCGTGCAGAACATGTCACATGTCGCCGCTTGTTCTCACAGTGCCACAGCTCTTGAAGAACAGCGTGCTACCCTTCTCAACTTGCCCAATCCCTTTCGAACGGCATGTTACCTTTTCTCTTTTTTTGTGTTCGAGCTAGGCCCCTTCAGGCTGCATAGGTCTCAGCACCGTCAAGCTGGCATGGCTGCCCTGACGGCAGTGGCACCCGGAGTTTGCTCGGGACGTGCTCTCTCACTTGCAAGAAGAGCCCTAACGGTCCCCATTCTCGACAGGAGGGGCGGACGGACGAAGTGCTTTGCGCTCTGCATCCTGACGCGGACCTGCGTTTCAGGCCTGGGAATCTGTCTTGCGATTGAAGTCTTGCCACGTACTTTGAGTAATGTTTCAATTGCAGCCGCATTGCACGCATCATCGTGAGTCGTTCCTATGCCGCCTGGCGAATATGATCACAGGCCTGTGTATCTTGTCGACATGCCGGGCTTCGGTGATGGCACGCAACTCCACCGCCTCTGGGCGAAAGAAATGAAGATAGCATTCGAGATCTTTTGGAACCTTTCTGCAACAGTGGGCGGCTGATGTTCACAATCCATTGTAACCGGGCTTGAGTTCTCGGCCCATAGACCGAGTCACCAGCAAAGCCTTTGTATGATCAAGCGAAGTGCATGCACCAAGAGCAAGACTAAGAAACGACCTCCGTTCAAGTAAGCCCTGCCTGCCCAGTCTGCAGAGCACAACATGCTGGAGCCTTTTGGCTCGAAGCGTGCGCCCGCTTTGCAGAGTCCTGTGCCCAACTGCTTGTCCTGAACCACGACAATGAACCTTGGATGCACGTGGTCTGAAGACACCAGCTGTAATATCCTGCCACCTTATCGCCTGCACACTGCACGCCAATGCGCACATGCGGATGCTAGTTGTTAGCTCTTCAGAAATGATGCAGCCAACGCCTGCAGCCTGCACCACTGTTGAGCTAGAGCGTTGCAAGTGGTGTCCTAGGGCTTGACATTCCCGTCCGGGTGGGATTCCTGACGGAAAGGGTTTACACAAAATGCAACCGGAAGTGCTTGTCGTGCAAGCGCAGCTTCAAGGCGGTAGGGATTGTGGGAGCCTCGTCCCTTGTTTTCTTCATCAATATAAGGGAGAGCGTGCTTATGAGTTGTGCACACCCCAGCTCGCTGTGCGAGTACTGTGCACGGGAGCCTGCTTAATCCTGCTTACTCCGCTCCATTTCTTTCCTGCATTACGTAGAAGCGAATCGAAGCCCTTAGCACATCAAGAGATCCCACGTCAAAGGACTCGTTGCGTCACGATGTAAGAAGTTAGTGCCCCAGCTCTTTACTTTCTGGGTGCAGCAATTGCATTGCTACTTGTCCACGTGGAAAGAGTCGTTGAGCGGCGGGCGATGATTGCTGCTCGGCCGGTCCGTTCTGATGAGCTATTCAGCTGATACGTACTGGTATAGACAGAGGGGCACTAGGGTAGATTAAGGAGGGTTGTATGGATTGATTAGTGTGAGCATGAATGAAGTGGCAACCTCGCCAGACGGCTCTATCTGAGGACCGACAGCATCATGAGAAGCTCGGCTGGAGTGGGGTCGCAGTGAGTCAGAGCTTATTTTGTACGGTCAAGTTCATCGAGAAACACAGCTGGACTTGCTTTTGGAGATTCGATCATAATATAAAAGCTTGTTCCCAGATGATGTACCGCACCTTTGAAGTGATAGGGGTTTAGGGTTTATGTAGCCGGGCGGTTTACAAGGGTTTAAAATAGGGCGCAAGGCTTCAGTCCAAGCTGTGCTCTGCTCTGAAGGCGTCGGACCAACTTGCCAAACAACGGACTGCCATTCCAACAGGAGCAAGACTAAGCATAGAGGTTCCCTGTTAAACTTACAGTTCGAGCCTCGAAGTTTCAAAACTTGACACAGAGCTCACCGAGAAGAGCTCTAGTGAGCAAGTTCCACAGGTACTGTAGTGTGTATCATTGCCCCTGCAAATGGCGGCATCTACCCATAAAACTGTTTGGACACCCAGCGGCAGCTTCGCCAGAGTCCTTAATGGGTTGGGTAATCCGGCCGCTCTAGAGCGAGGTGCTTCCCGGAAGCCAACCGGCATGAAGGGCAAGGCCCGCACCTGCTTCGGAGTCCGCAAGGCTTCTTTCAAGACGGATTTCTCAACAAAGCCCGAGAGGCCGCCTGACAAGAGTGCACCAGCCGCTTCGCAGTCTGTACAACATCAAAACTACACAACGGAAAGGTGCACGACTTGGCCACGACCCTCCAGTCCCAGAACGAGGCTTTGGGCATCGAAAAAGGACATGCGCCTTGGCATGACGATTGGCTGCGTTCCCCTCCTCCTATGATCAAAGGTCCCCTTAAAATTCTGCAGGCGCCGTGTCGAAGCTGCAGGAAAGTAGAACTGAGCAGAGGCTGGTGGACTGCAGGCGACAGCAACCACAGAAATTCAGGACTGCAGGGTGTGCGCACTGCAATGTGTACAGTCGTTTGAAAGAGGCACCGAGGAATGGAATATTGCAATGAACGCGGGATAGTAAATGAATTTTTCGCCTGACCGAATTTTGTGGCAGGGGGCTTGGTATTGGCAGAAAGAATGGAAAGAGCTTAAGGCACAACCAAGCAGGAGCAAAGGAAAAAAAACAGCCAGGAGGCAAAAGAATCAGCAGGAAGGCTTTCGAAATGTGCAGCAACCAGAGAAGCAGAAGCGACATTCGCACTTAAGTTCTCGCTGCTCCCGGGTCCCTGGGCTTGATCAGGGCTCATCCCGGAAACCCTGCAGGTAGTGGGTGAACAGACAGATCATGGAATTGCGGCCTCAATGTCTCAATGCTCCATTGCCTGTGCTTCCAAACATCTCCCACAAAAGCTGTGATCGCTTGGACATCTTGGGATACTCTTGTTTCGCTACAGGCTGAGAGCAATTTGCACCCGAAGCCCGGAAGTCGAGAGGGCATCCACTGACGTAGCAAGTCATCCGAGGTGCACAGCATCAAAGCGGGAAACTCGAACTCCACCAGCGGCACTTCGGACCGGATGGTATTCCATGTTCGAGCTGGGCTCTCCCCAGTACAGCAAACGAAGATTGATGCAAGCAGTAAGTTGCCACTCCCCATGCTATGGCATGTTCGAGCATCTTCCCGCCAATGCTTCGCATGATGTCTTCAATGGAGGCATGCAGTCCCAGCTGAACGATGTGAAGCGGTACTTCGGGGCTGACATCCAACGCATGATGCAAGAGTTCGAGGCGAGGATTATCATTTGTCCGCTGCGGTTGTGGAACAGGGATGTCAGCAAAAGATTGACTGCATGACATCCAGCAATCCAGCGCCGATTGGAGTCTCCGAGTTACAGGAATTGCTGCCGGCACACCGTGATCAGAGCTTGCATGCTCTAGTTCCTGTCGGGAGACCGTACACTTTTTGTGATCTCGTTCCCTCGTGTTTCTTGGTGAGGTTGCGGATTGTTCCGTATGAGGGTGGCGGGGCAGGATTCCTGTCGCATCATGTGCAGTTGTGCGATGGGTCCCGTGGTGGCCGCGTCCTGCCAGGGGTTCCGAAAGCCTGTCTATTCTTGGCACATTCTGCAAGTAGGCACCTGTCATGGAGCTTTGAGAGGAGTAGCAGCAAAAGCTTCTCAAAGTAGTGCTTTTTCTGATTTGACGAGCCCATACATGAGCGTCAGCCACTATCGAGTTGCACCATGATCATGTAACATGTGTGTTGCGGCTCATCCTGTTGGACCGAAGTCTTGAAATCGCAAGGAGAAATATCGCTAATCGCTGCCAAACGCCTGACGTATTGCCAACTGCCCTCAACCACAGCTTAGCACCGCCGAAACACCCGAATCAATTGGGTAGCGTCGGCGTGCCATGCTATGTCAAGATGCAGCTGGGTTCTTGATGTGGCAGATCAACCAAGCGAATTCGGATAAAGCTCCAACTGCACCGTGAACTGCCTCGCCGTGAGGGGCAGCAAAACCAACGCGTCATGCAGAGCAATGCAGCCAAAACAGCTATGTAAACTATGACAACAAAGTATTACGGAAAAAGTTGTACCCTGGCCCAGGAGCGACATGAACCTGGGTCGTCTGTTTGACATCCCTTGTGACATAAACACAGACCCGCTGACCCAACCTCACCCCATCCCCAGCTCCCGCGACCACCCACCCGCAGAGGTGTGCACGCACGCACACCACGCACACAAAACAGAAGAAGCCTGGATTGGAGGTTTCCCGCTTGGTTGCAGGAGTATAGGAACTTTGACAAACATGTTGCCTTGCCCCTGACGAAGCATGCGGCCCAGTGCCAAAGTTCCTGCAGGTGTCTCAGAAGCTGCAAGAAGCAGAGAATGTCCGTCTACAGCAACAGGCAAGATCTAACTTTTTCACAAAGCTGAGGAACTTTGTTGGGGGTTTTGGGGCCCGTTGGAGGTGACCGCTCTTAAGGGCGAGAAGACATCTGTTCACCAACAGCACCTGGGCCTAATCAGCGAGGCATTGTTCCATCCGTTCTCTTACAGAATCTTTCAGATGAGACGAAGCTGTGAGTCCCATGAGCAATGCAACAGGATTCTACATGCTGCCAAGGAAGTTAGAGCTTTGGGAGACAAATGTGGTGCATCGGAGGATTGGGATCGGAATCCGTGAATTCACTTTAACTCGAGAGGAAAGATAAATGCTCTCTCGGCAATCGGGACAGTTGCTCGGGATTTTTGCGGACCAGTGGGGCCCGCGAAAGCCGTTGCAACATCCGGTACCGTTTTGCCCTCCTGGCGACAGAATCTGCTAACCAGGCATGCAGGCACACAGTTGAGTCAAGCTGGTTCTGTGTAGAAGCCGAGGATCATCGCGCTTCAACGCCGCATCGAGGAACTCGAGGAGGAGTTGGGCCACGAGTGAATCAGACCGGCTGCTGGAGATCTCGAGTGCCAAAGCCTGCCCGATTTTGAATAAATTAGGGCACAATCGCACAACGAGAGCGCTCTTGTATAGTGGCTTTGCAAGACGATCAGCCCCGGTTTACAAATGCGACTGCTTTATGCTTTCCTTCGATTTTGGGCCTTGGACGCAAGCTTAAATGCATTCCGGAGACTGTGTACGGCAGGCTTTCACGACACTCGAGATATGGTGCTTTGTGTTGCAAAGCATCTTCGTGAGTTGCATCCGCGAGAATCGAAACCTGAAAGTCGCAGTCAAGAAAGTCCAAAGAAAACTACAAGTACACGTGCGAAGGTCTGTGACGCGCCTATATTATCCTCAGCATGTGATGCTCGAAGCCTAAGCTGATCATGTTACAAAGAGCTGGTAAACTACAGCCTCGGCTCCATCAGTCTATGTCCATGTTGAACTGGATGCAGACATGTGAAGACGGTCCTGTAGCACTACTGCACGCCTGACAATTCAGTTCTTTGCATGTACGCGGCTTTGTCGGCTTTGTTTGTCTGCCGGCAAGCTTGCGGACTCTCATCATCGCGAGATGCGATGTTTTCTGAACTTCTGCGGCAGATTGGCACGGCCATGCAAGACCAATACAGCCAGGATTAGTCAGCTGCGCCTGCAGCGAGACGCCTGTGCTGTTCTGCCCTCGTCCTGGTTCGCGTTCGTCGCAGAACATGGGGTCGTTGGTCGTAGCGCTGAGCGCTTCAGGCCGCATTGGGCTGGTCTCACTAGAAATCACTCGAACGAGTTGCGACACGCTGATGCGAGCAAGCTGCGATTTCTCTGCTCTGCCCTTTCCCATGTATTCTGCTGTGCCTTTCACACGTCACACTGCATTGCGCCCTGCTTTGTGACAAGCAAGTCGCATGAGATTCGTATGAACAACTGACTTAAAATCACGAAAACTGAGGGCTACAACATGAAGAGCCGTTTGCAGAGGAGTCTGCACATAGGTACCTACATGCATAGGTACGTCCGTGCATGCATGCATACATGTATGCACACCTAAATACATACAATTGTGCATGCAGCTACATACATAACATACAGCTGTGTCCAGTTACATGCCGGTACATACAGCCACACACATACATACAGTTACGCATGTGTGTGCGTGTGTGTTTGCGTATGTATGTATATATATATATATATATATATATATGTTCAGGCACGTATGTCTGTGTAGATGTGTGTATACCGTGCCTTCGAAGTCAGCGCATCGAGAATCAACCATCACATTGTCACATCATAGTCGACTTATACCCCATTTGATACCATTTGAGATTTCGACAAAACAGTGCGACATTCACCGGTCTCGCTTGCAACACTGCGCCAGATAGTCCATGAAGATGTTGGCACGATAAGGTGATGATATCCAATCATGGTCACGAAGTATCCAACGGTGAGATGCTGTCTTGACTGAATCTAACAAACTGGTCTCGAGGCAGCTTCATAATAAGTTCATCTGTATCTATGTACAAGTACATACTTACGTCTTTCTTCTTCCTAATTACAGGCCATAGGCCCTATATGGACTGCATAAACCCGCATCTGCGCATCCACCCCGACCAAGGAAACGACATGTGCCGACTGCTCCTCCATGTGGGTCGATCGTTAGCACGCAACGTCTTTGCCCCGGTGGTCAAGTTGATGTGTGTTTGGGGAGGGGGCGCAGTAAGTCAGGGGTGAGTAAGAGTCATACGTGCTGTGTTGATCCTCATATCCCGGTTTCCGTAGGCCCCTTGTTTTCTCAAACACCCCTGTCACCCTGTAAGTGCCACAGCAGTATGATCGCGACGTCTTGACCGGCATCAACACGTCGGGGTTCGCATGCTGTTGACAAAGATCAGAAATTTGACTTGAGTTTTGCACTGGCGCGGCCCCAGGACGTGTATCAAACTTCCGTATCCTTTGTCTGCCTGTCTCGTCAGTATTGCTGCAAAGCACAAGGCAAAACTCTCGGACTCATGCGGTTGCCTTGGCATCCTTTATTCTGCGCCTCCGCTGCCCCGTCGGACTCTGACGTGTGTTCGTGCTCCCATTGCTTCCATCAGAGCAACCTCTCGTCCCGCTCATGCTGACAGCTTCCGTCGTCGCTTTCTCTCTGCTTGGAGCTCCCGGCTACACGGATTTCTGCGAGAGCTATACTGACACGATGAGTGTGGACACGGCAAGGCCTCCTCTTGCAGTTCGGCTATTGCTGAGAGAGCATGGCTTTGCTGCCGAGTTGTGTTTTTTGGCCGGGTGATGCCTCTGCTCCTGGTCCAGAAGTATGCCCAGGAAAACAGCAAAGGATTGCTGCGCGCTGGCATGAGAGAGAGGAACGCTCAAACCGAGCCTCCAACACTAAGTGGAGAGAGCTTTGAGACCTGTCGCATGGTTGTATGTTTGCTTTCGGGAGTGGCTTCTCTCCCACCCAACAGTGAAATCTTTGTGCTCGATGAAGGTATTTCTATGCCCACTTTAAGCGGGCACGCTAGTGCAGGGGCAGAGATCGCTCCCCTGTGATCCTGGAAATCGGAAAGGTTGGGGGGGGGGGGGGGGGGGGGGGTGCAAAGCGTAGGGATGTCATCCCTGCTGTCTCTCCTCATCCTCCGAAACATTGCCGTTGTGTGTTCGAGGCTGGTGTGAACATGAGCTTACCTGCTGCAAGACCGGAGACTACTGACCGTTTGTCATCGCACATGCCTTTTTGGGTTGCGCTAGCACAAGGTATGTTTGGATGCGCAAACCTATGTCGAGGCTAATCGTACTCATTGGACATGTTGGGCAGCTGTCCAGGACACGCCTGCCAGGAACTGCAGTGCCTTCAAGAAGTTGCAATGGCAGCTGACGGCCTTCGGTACGTGCACTTCCTGTCCGATGACTCCGCAAGCTAGCAGCTAGCAAGCAGCATTTGGGCGTCACCTCGTTCCAGGTGCGATGACCCAGCAGAACAAGCAACAATGTTCAGTGTCACAAAGTTCTTGGACGTTCAACAGATTCCGACTTGATATGACAACTTACAGTCGAACCCTATTTGTCCCGCACTCTTCGCTGAACTCTTCTAGGTGCAGTTGATCTGGGTTCTGCGCGCCGGTCGCCATACCCGGAACGAGGCTGAGGAATTCGTTTCTCGGCGTATCCCATTAGTCAAAGAGCCGCAGGCTATGCAGGACCTGTAAGACTCCTTCCTTGGTGATAGGGACAAACGCAATCTTGCCACATTCACAAACTGAAACAAGCCGCATCAGTGATCCAACCCCACTCAGTGTTCCAGGTCCTTTCGCTGATGCAAGCTACCATGCGGCCTCCGCTGGCTTCTTGTCACCAGAAAAGATCTGCAACAGTCAAGTTGTTCCGGGCAGTGTGCCGTGAGTAATTAAACTTGCAGTG